AGACTACCCTCATCCTAGGTAACAGAAGTAAAGGCAGGGATTGACTGATACTCAGTCCAGTTGAGGTGTGATAAGAACTGCAATACAGCTGCAGCTTAAAGCTCCCAAGAGCTGGGGAACCTAGCATGAAAGAAAAAGAAATGATAAGAAAGGAGGAAAGAAAGGTAATTTGGGGTCAAGACTCCTTGTGGCTTTGGATATCATAATTTTTAAAAAATTACATACTATTAGAAGGGAGAAACAACAGAAGATTTTCAAGTAAGGGGTGACAGTAGGCCTGTTTTACAAAGACATATATATGGTGGGTGGTACTGTGGCAAATGATTGTGAAAGGTGGTACTGTGGCAAATCGAACTGTGAAAGCAGAGAAGCAGCTACTTAACATTCCTAAGAGAAAATGAGGTCTGTTCCCAAACTGCAGAGTTCCTAAAAACACAGATCATTACTAGTTTATAGGCAATATTTAAAGACAGGAAAATAGATAAGATGACTTAAAATAGTCACTAGAGAGCTGAGGGAACTCCAAAGAATATTTACATAGAAAAGACCTGCTATGGTCTGAATGTCTGTGTTCCCCCAGAATTCATATGTGGAAATCCTATTCCTCAAAGGTGATAATGGTATTAGGAGGTGAGGCTTTGCAGAGGTGAAGGCAGAATGAGTCAGTCAGTTCAGTCACTCAGTCGTGTCTGACTCTTTGTGACCCCAGGAATCGCAGCACACCAGGCCTCCCTGTCCATCACCAACTCCCGGAGTCCACCCAGGGTCTTTTCCAATGAGTCAACTCTTCACATGAGGTGGCCAAAGTATTGGAGTTTCAGCTTCAACATCAGTCCTTCCAATGAACACCCAGGACTGATCTCCTTTAGGATGGACTGGTTGGATCTCCTTGCAGTTCAAGGGACTCTCAAGAGTCTTCTCCAACACCACAGTTCAAAAGCATCAATTTTTTGGCGCTCAGCTTTCTTCACAATCCAACTTTCACATCCATACATAACTACTTGAAAAACCATAGCCTTGAGTAGATAGATGGACCTTTGTTGGCAACGTAATGTCTCTGCTTTTTAATATGCTGTCTAGGTTGGTCATAACTTTCCTTCCAAGGAGTAAGTGTCTTTTAATTTCATGGCTGTAATCACCATCTGCAGTGATCTTGGAGCCCAAAAAAATAAAGTCTGACACTGCTTCCACTGTTTCCCCATCTATTTCCCATGAAGTGATGGGACTGGATGCCATGATCTTAGTTTTCTGAATGTTGAACTTAAGCCAACTTTTTCGCTCTCCTCTTTCACTTTCATCAAGAGGCTCTTTAGTTCCTCTTCACTTTCTGCCATAAAGGTGGTGTCATCTGCATATCTGAGGTTATTAATATTTCTCCTGGCAATCTCGATTCCAGCTTGTGTTTCTTCCAGCCCAGCGTTTCTCATTATGTACTCTGCATGTAAGTTAAATAAGCAGGGTGACAATATACAGCCTTGATGTACTCCTTTTCCTATTTGGAACCAGTCTGTTTGTCCATGTCCAGTTCTAACTGCTGCTTCCTGACCTGCATACAGGTTTCTCAAGAAGCAGATCAGGTGGTCTGATATTCCCATCTCTTTCAGAATTTTCCACAGTTTATTGTGATCCACACAGTCAAAGGCTTTGACATAGTCAATAAAGCAGAAATAGATGTTTTTCCGGAACTCTCTCGCTTTTTCGATGATCCAGCAGATGTTGGCAATTTGATCTCAGGTTCCTCTGCCTTTTCTAAAACCAGCTTGAACATCTGGAAGTTCACGATTCACGTATTGCTGAAGCCTGGCTTGGAGAATTTTGAGCATTACTTTACTAGCGTGTGAGATGAGTGCAACTGTGCAGTAGTTTGAGCATTCTTTGGCATTGCCTTTCTTTGGGATTGGAATGAAAACTGCCCTTTTCCAGTCCTGTGGCCACTGCTGAGTTTTCCAAATTTACTGGCATATTGAGTGCAGCACTTTCACAGCATCATCTTTCAGGATTTGAAATAGCTCAACTGGAATTCCAGAATAGTGTCCTATAAAAGAGACCCCACAGAGCTCCCAAACCTCTTCTCCCAGTAAAGTGAAAGTGAAACTGAAAGTCTCTCAGTCGTGTCCAACTCTTTGCAACCCCATAGACCCCATCAGGCTCCTCTGTCCATGGAATTCTTCAGGCGAGAATACTGGAATGGGTGGCCATTCCCTTCTCCAGGGAATCTTGTTTTTGCTGACTGTATAGAGCTTAACCATCTTTGGCTGCAAAGAATATAATCAATCTGATTTTGGTATTGACCATCTGGTGATGTCCACATGTACAGTCTAAAGTTGTTGGAAGAGGGTGGTTGCTATGATCAGTGCATTCTCTTGGCAAAATTCTATTAGCCTTTGCCCTGCTTCATTTTGTACTCCAAGGCCAAATTTGCCTGTTACTCCAGGTGTTTCTTGACTTCCTACTTTTGCATTCCAGTCTACTTTAATAAAAAGGACATCTTTTTTGGTGTTAGTTCTAGAAGATTTTGTATGTCTTCATAGAATCATTCAACTTCAGCTTCTTCAGCATTACTGGAAGGGGCATAGACTTGGATTACTATGATAGCGAATGGTTTGCCTTGGAAATGAACAGACATCATTCTGTCATTTTTGAGATTTCATCTAAGTACTGCATTTTGGACTCTTTTGTTGACTATGATGGCTACTCCATTTCTTCTAAGGGATTCTTGCCCACAGTAGTAGATATAATGGTCATCTGAGTTAAATTCACCCATTCCAGTCCATTTTAGTTCGCTGAGTCCTAAAATGTCGACCTTCACTCTTGCCATCTCCTGTTTGACCACTTCCAATTTGCCTTGATTCACGGACCTAACATTCCAGGTTCCTATGCAATATTGCTCTTTCAGCATCAGACTTTACTTCCATTACCAGTCATATCCACAAATGGGTGTTGTTTTGCTTTGGCTCCATCTCTTCAGTTTTTCTGGAGTTATTTCTCTACTGATCTCCAGTAGCATATTGGGCACCTACCAACCTAGAGAGGTCATCTTTCAGTGTCCTATCTTTTTGCCTTTTCATAGTATTCATGAGGTTCACAAGGCAGGAATACTGAAGTGGTTTGCCATTCCCTTTTCCAGTGGCTTACCACACTTTTAAAAGTTAGGTTGTATAAGCTAGCCTGGGGTCATAACCTTATCCTTATTTCTTTGTAGCCCACAACCTGAAATTCAAACAAACTTGGAATACAACCTATCTATAAGTTGGAGTCCTTCTCTACTATTCAGCATGCAGCCTCTTCCTAAGTCAGGTTCTACTTACATCAGCAATACTGTTAACGTTTCCTGTGTATCCTTCAGTTTTCTAGTTCTGTTAAGAAATTATCTTATGACCCAGTAACTTGATAAATATTCAGATTCCAAACCACACATTTCAATACTGAGTTCTTAATTACCCTGGATTCTCTGCTATTGCTTCATGAGTAATAATTAGTCTTAACTTCAACCAGACTGCAAACTCTGAAACCCTGTCTTTGACATAGTTTCCCTCAACATTAAGGACAGTCTTGAGTACAAAAGCTAATAAATACTTCCAAATAAACTGCAAAAAAAGACATCCAAGTCTAAACAAAATTATAAATACTTTAAAGATACCTGTATGGATTGGGAGAAAATATTTGCAAATGATGTGACCGACAAGGGATTAGTCTCCAAAATTTACAAAGAACTCATGAAGCTTAACAGCATTAAAGCAATCAATCCTACCAACAAATGGGCAAAAGATCTAAGTAGACACTTCTCTGAAGTAAACATATAGATGGCCAAGAGGCACATGAAAAGATGTTCAACACTGCTGATTATTAGAGAAATGCAAATCAAAACTACAATGAGTTATCACCTCACACCAGTCAGAATGATGGATACATGCACCCCAATGTTCATTGCAGCACTCTTTACATTAGTCAAAACATGGAAGCAACCTGAGTATCTATCAATAGAGGAATGGATAAAGAAAACGTGGTACATATATACAATGGAATATGACTCAGTCATTAAAAAGAATGAAATAATGCCATTTGCAGCAACACAAATGGACCTAGAGATTGTCATCCTGAGTGAAGTAAGTCAGACAGAGAAGAAAAAATATCATAAGATATCTGTTATATGTGAAATCAAAAAAGAAATGATACAAATGAACTTACTTAAAAACAGAGACTCACAGACTTAGAGAACAAATCAGTTTCTGGGGGGAGGGATAGATAGTTAGCGAGTGTGGGATGAACATGTACACACTGCTATATTTATAATGGATAACCAACAAGGACCCACTGAATAGCACACGAAACTCTACTGAATGTTATATGGCAACCTGGATAAGAGGAGGGTTTGGGAGAGAACGGACAAGTGTATATGTATGGCTGAGTTCCTTCACTGTTCACCTGAAACTGTCACAGTATTGTTAATCAGCTATAAGACATCTGTATGATGACACAATTTATATTTCATTGTCATCTACCTTCTTTAAAATTTGTATGTGGATGTTGACTAGTCTATTTCTGGATACCCTGGGTGTGTATAAAGTACACACACACACACACACACAAACTCTTTTTCCCTAGGCTCATAGAATTCTATCTTTTCAAATGTAGAATTTGTTTCAGAAGTAAAGAATCAAGATCATCCTGTTTCATTATTGCTATAATAATGTTTCATCTACAGGTCACTGAGGAAACAAGTTGTGTTCCATTGTCATCTATCTACTTTAAATTCTTTATGAGAGTATCCATCAATTAAACAAAATGTAATCTAGACTTAAGACATATGAAAATGATCTATTGCATATAGATTATATATGTTGCAGAACATTAACACTGTTTAATAATTTTGACATGTCTAAAAACACAGCAGAGGAAAGGAAGAAATTCTTTAAAAAACTGGAGTCTTTATATTACGTGACATGGCTCTGTGTGAAACAAGTTTTAAAGAAAATGGGCAAGAAAACTGATTAAGTTACCTGTAATCATTCCGATCATCAGCTTTTATTCCAGGCCAATCTCTCTTCAGATACTGACTAGCCAACTTCTGGATACCCTGTTAAAAAATACAAATGTAATAGAAGTTAAATTATAAAATAAATATTGTGCTATAAAGGAAGCTTTTTTCCTTAAAATACACTACTTAGCAAATCCCATCTTTCTATATGTAAATTTAATTCCGAAGTAAAGAACCAATGATAAATGGCAGAACACTATAACTGGTTTCATTATTTTCAAAGTCCTTTTGTCCTCATTTTTAGGAAAAAGGTAAGTATAAAGATGAGAAAATTGAAACTTAATTGAAATGCTTTTCACTTCATCATACTATGTGACCAGCCATAAAAACAAACTACCCCTGGTATATCACAGGGAACATAGCTGCCCACCTCCAGAGCTATGATGACTCGGTTCGACCTCTCAATTTCCCATCATTCCTCTGCTGCAGCATTTATTGCATTTCTGAATCCAAGGAGCCAAACTCATATACAAGAAAATAGTACAACACATTCAATTTGAAGCAGACAGATAAATATTGGCTTGAAAAATTAATGCACAAACTCTGGTGCTATTCCATACTAGTAATTTTCAAGACAAGACTTCAAGGTTTTTTTTTTTCTTCTTCTTCTTTTTAAGTAATACCATGGCACAAATCACTTAAATTGAAAAAATTAGTTTCACAAAGAAATACCCAATTATTGTTATCCATACAAACATGAACCTACACAAAACAGTATTTATTCATAACAGGTACAGTGGGTATCAGAATTTGAATGAAGACGATGGCAAGAGGTTAAATTACTCACTCTGAGTATAGAACATACTATTTTTAGAAGGAAACATATGTGGTCACCTAATACTGTAACAGGGCCCATACATGCAACTTTAAAAAGAACAAATAAATAGCTGAGATGAAGAACAATCACATTAATCGGCTGCCTACTTCAAGCACAAATTGCCCAAGTAAAATCGATGGTGCACTCCATACATGATACCTTTCTAGTAAGGTCTGATGCCAAATCAATTTGGCTTAATTAAATCCATTGTTGAATGTTTGTTTACTATTTTTTTAATGAGCCCAAACAAGAATAATAGAGAAGCTCCTTTGAATCTCAATTCCTTTTGAACTTCGCAATAGTACGGTTTCACTGTTTTCCGGTCCTATGTGTTCTGAAAACTAACAGACAACTGCATATCCAACACTCTTACTTACATGCCTTGTACTTTAGGGAATACAATTATTAAAACCTCTCTGAATCTGGACAGAATTTTTTTTCACTTCTGTACCTTTTTCAAAGCGTTATTTGTATGAAATATCTTCCCATCACTCTCATTCCTACTGGCTGAATTCTTGCTGCTCCTCCTTTAAACTGATTTTTAAATTTCCTAACACAAAATATTAAAATGTTTATAAAGAAAAATGTAAAAAGTTTCATTGCCTGTTTGGTTTCATTTCATTAAAAGAGAACAGTTTATCATTCTTTCTGCATTTGTTAGCTTGAATTCTTTTTTAAAGAACTATCCCTCATGGACTATTTGGGTATGCTAAGGTACAATTCTTAGAGGAAAGGCAAGATAAATATTTGACTGCCTAGTTTTGGTCCAAAAGTGAAGAATGAATTTTTAAAGTAACACTATGAACTCACATGTTTTGAAAAATGGATGTGTTTCAATCTATTGCAGTCATTATTCTCTCAAAGCTCCAAACGCTACATCAGTGGTCAGTGGGAGTTCCTCCAAGTTGGCGCCCACGTTATGACCCCAACAGATTTAAATAATTTTGTTTTCTTTTACAGTTCCTATTCCAGATCTTCAGTAAGCTAGTTTTCTAAGAAATTCTGATTCCTTTCAGAGAGAAACCATCTTCAGAGACCACAACTCTAGGTACTTCCTTATCCTTTTGGTTATACTTTGTATCTTCCTCTAAGAGGGCTTTTCTAATCACACTGTATACAAAGTAGCTCACCCTTCACTCAGCTGCTCTCTCTCACACTACCCTACAGTATTCATAATCCTTATACATTGCTCATTGCTACTGTCTGGTTTCAATATGTTTTGTCTATTTGCTGACTATAAGCTCTTTCAGGTACCAATCTTGTCATTTTTTTTAAATCACTCTGTCTCCAGGCTATATATAGCAGAGCCTAGTATTCAGTTGATACCAAAAATGTTCCCTGACTGCATAAATAAATGCCACCTACATCATTTCATTCCTAATGTAAAATACTCAAACTCCTTTTGTGTTTTTGCCATTTGGAGTTAGAAACACTTAGACCAAAATTTCTCTGGGTCCTTAATTTTCATACACTCAAAGGAAAAAAACATATACCAGATTTCTAACATTATGACCAGATGGTTTTAATATGATACATAAGCTCCTTAATAAAATTAGTCAAATTTGACCATCTTCATTAACAAAAGGGAACACACATGTAGATACACAAGCAATGAAAAAAGAACATTATTTTATGAAGATTCAAGTAAATTAAGATCCCTGAATTCAAAGAAATTATAATATGTAGAAAGAGTAAGAAGCATTCAACATAAAATGGGAGGCAACAGATGGGTTACTGCCTTGTAAGTGGCGGTAAGTGATACAAATACCCAGGAGGAAAAAATTATCTGATATTTTCCTAACAAATTAAATAATGATAGTGACTTTTTCAGTTTAATCACTGATAAAGTGGCTGCAGAACACTTCATACAGAACATGGGATGTGACAGTAGCCTCAGATTATGAGGACTAAGAGGGCAGAATGGCAGCACTGTAAAGATATATAAAACAAACGAACTCATTAACAAACATCTCAACACACTTATTTCTCATAATTCCATTAGGCCCTGTTACAATATAGAAAAATTTTTGGACATTTAGAATACACAAATTCTACTTGAAATCTCAAAACTAGTTAAGTTTGAATTATAATCCCTAGTTATCATTCTAAATCTTCACCCTCAAAATCATTTTGAAGTAGATTTTATATAATTCTTTACAATTTTTTTGAAATTATTTCAACTTGTTATCTTTTTTGTGCATTATGAGTTACAAAAGCAATTTCTAGAGCTCTAAACTACAATGTTGAACTGTATTAAACTGAATGGAGCCCTTCAGAGATGAGATGAGGGATTCATGAAATAGACAAACAGCAAGAGCTTTAGATGAAAGACTTTATTCAAGTTAGTTCACAGAAACAGGAATCATGACTCCTGTGTGTTCCATGCAGCTGTTCAAGATCTAATCTGCATGGACGCTCAAGAAATACTCCATGGCCCGGATAGAAAAGGTCATAAATAACATTGCATGCTTCTGAAAGCATTATATACTTAACTGGTCTACATTTTACGTCATGCTTAAGGCTATATCTTATGTATAAAAGGTTTCTTTGTACAGAAAATAAAATCCACCATGAGTAAATGGCTAAGGAAGATAAACCTGTGGCTGGCAATTTTTTTTTAAAGTGTTTTTTTTAAATCTCTTCCCTAGCCCACAATATTACTATCTAAAACTGGTGCATTAGACATACAATATTTATTTATATTTACATTAATATCATTAAAATATAATGCTGATTTGATTTCTAATACAGTTTACTCTGGAGCAGTGGTTTCCACAAAAATGTACTATCAATATACTCTTTGGAACATCCAATAACATCCCATTTCAACTTTTAAAAAGCTATCAGTGTCTGATGTAAGACTTGCTTTGTTTCACCTCTCAATAACACTTGTTATATTGCTCTAACAAGTGAAGCAACACAAAGAAAGTCACTGTTCAAGACACTGGGAAATGGACTGATGGCTTAACCTTTTGTCCATTTACCACAAAAAGCTGAGCAGAAGTGTGCTCTATGGCTCTCACGCAGGTTATTCTGTATCCAGTTTTGTCATGAAATTCCCAATATTGTGTAAATGATTGTTAAAAATTAAAGTCCACTGAATAAGTTGGATACTTTTCAAACTGATGTAAATTATACAATGCCTTTACTATTCTAAAATTATTTTAATAGTAATAGAGAACTTAACACCCTCTCCTTAAGGGAAGTTTTCAAATATTTTTCATTGTTTTGTACAGCATATAATTGAAGTTAAGGTAAAAAAAAAACATTATTTTAAATTACATAATAAATTGCCTTTACATACTTTTCTATTCATTCCATGATAAAATGAGGTATTAATCTCATGTTACATATTAAACATGTATTTACATATTTTAAGACTCTTCCTTTTATCAAAAATAAAGATTGTGTTTAAATGTAATTATATAAGAAAAAATGTAATTATGTAAGTTCTAATGGTATATTAGGGGGCAGCAGAGGATGAGATGGTTAGATAGCATCACCAACTCAATGGACATGAATCTGAGCAAACTCCAGTAGATAGTGAGGGACAGGAAAGCAGCTGTGCTGCAGTCTATGGAGTTCCAAAGAGTCAGACATGACTCAGCAACTGAACAACAAAGACATACTAAATGACCTATTTGATTTTAGAACCAAATAGAATACAAAAGAGAAAGAATTTAACACTCAACCATGATTAAAAAAAAAAACCTCTCAAAAACTAGCAGCAGAAGGAAACGTCCTTAACCGAATAAAAGGTATATACAAAAAGCCTACAGTTAACATACTTCTAGTAGAAAATGAATGCTTTCCCTGTAAGACTGAGAATAAGGCAAAGATGTGCTCTCTCACCAGTCCTTTATGACATTGTGTGTGTAGCCCCTGGTGGCTCAATCAGTAAAAAAAACTGCCTGACATGTAGGAGACCCAAGTTCAATCCCTGGGTTGGGAAGATCTCCTGGAGAAGGGAACGGCAACCCACTCCAGGATTCTTGCCTGAAGAATCCCATGGACAGAGGAGCCTGGCGGGCTACAGTCCAAGAGGTCACAAAGAGTTGGACACAACTGAGTGACTAACATTTTCACGTGTAGTCCCACCTAGTACAAAAAGGCAAGAAAAGGAAGTTAAAAGAGATACAGATGGACAGGAAAAAATAAAACTACCTTTATTCAAAGATGACATGATTGTCTATGTAGAAAACCCCAAATAATCTACAAAAAA